GTCGGTGGGTCCGTCTGTCGGTCCCGCAGTCCGTTGCCTACCGCGCGAAGCTGGCGCACTTGTCTTCCGCGGGCGCAGCCAGCACCTTTAAATCGCGCTCCTCTTTCTCATTCACATTTTGCCTGCTGCCCAGCCGGGCTCGCGTCACGTGGGGCCTAGCGCCGCCGCCCATTGGCTGCGCCAGGAGGGGCGTGGGAAGGTGGGGCCCCGCCCCTTCCACCAAGGCTGGCAGCCAGCGGGCTGCAGGCACCACCAGCGGAGCGCGCGGGCCCGAGAGCCTGAGCCTGTCGCTCAGCGCAAACTTGAAAGGGGCGGTTGGCACCCCCAAGGCTCGAATCCCGCGGCCCGGCAGCCTGGTCAAGGCCGCCTTCAAGGGCAGCTTCCGGGGCTAGGGCCCGCCACGGCTAAGCCGAGGGCGTTTTCTTTTATAGCTGCATTGGAACAAACCTGCTCTCGGCTCACCCTAGCTCTGGGTGCTGCTGCTCTAGGGGTCCCGGCGAGGTTCCTGGAGTTGGGGACATGGTCCTGCTGCTTCAGATCTGCCCCTGGGGCGCTGCCCGGCAGCTGACAGCCTCTGCCCGCCTTGGGGAACCCTGGGGGTTGCTCCTTGCGCCCCCACTCCTGCACCGCCGGGGCGGGAAGGCTGCCGGTTCCCCCATCTCGCGCTGGGCCCTCCCGTGAGCGATCCCTTCTCATTTTTCATGACATTCTTAATCATCGCACCTATTTACACACTTTGCCTGTGCGCACCAAAATAACAGCCACGATAATTATGATAATAAAGCGAGTCCTTCATCTCCTCCATCCTGGGGGAGGAAGGGGGAGTTACTGTGCCTCCCGATTGTATAACGTGAGATTATCTTGATGAAAGCTTTATGATGTTTGCTCAAATAAAAGCTGCGTTTTGTAAATAGGCGCTAATTAAGCACGTTGAGAACGGAGGGAGCGCTCACCCCGGCGCCGCCGCCCGGTTTCCAGCGCGAGGACTCGAGGGCGCGCGGCTCCTCTTTGCCTCCTGCAGAATGGAGCCGATTCCCTCCAGATGTCTCTCTCGTCTCGACCATGGTAAAACCCCAGAATTTGGGAGTAAGCGAATTGGCTGGGAGGGGGTGGGGCTAGGAATGTTTATATCCCTTTCTCCAAGATAAAACCAAAACTTTCAGCTTTCGTGTTCCGTTTAAGAGTGGAATCATTTCCTCTCAAGGGCAGACCATGCAAAGCGCGCCGGCGCGCTCGGGGACTTCCACGCGCCTCCCGGGCCTGGGCTCCAACTTCCCGGGTCTAGATGTGCAAGTACCGGCTCTGGAGGAGAGGCGCGAAGGGCATTGTTACACCGGCCATTAAAAATCAGGTCACGCGGAGGAGCTAGTGGTTGGGGAGTTGGCCCGTGATGGGTGTTGGACGTGTGTTATGTATCACTTACAAAGCACATTTAATTGGGAGATAAAGATAAATCGATCTTTATGAATTTATCGACCCGATTCTATGAAGCTCTTCTTTCTCTAGAGCTCTCACCCCAAGGCCCCCGGGGGATGTCTTAATCCCAAATCACCTCCTCATCCACGAGTCTGGCTGGACACCCACTGCCCACCCGAAGGGCCCTGGAGGGTGCTGAGAAAACTCACGCCAGCCGCCCTCCTCCTCGCCACCTCCCCCCACCCCCACCACCACCACCCGGACAAAGACGTCTGGAGCGCGGTTCCCCACTCCAGGCCGCAGTAATGGATGGCTCCGGCAGCAGGAGGTTTGAAAAGAATTCATTAGGACGCTGCCTGTGTTGCCTCCACTCTCTTGAAGCCCAGACCCTGAGGTGGCTGAGGCAGTGTGGGGGAAATGGATTCCTGTGAGGATCCACCCGGATGCAGATATCTGTGGGGTCTCTAAGCTCTACCCCTCTTTATCCACTCCTACAAAAGAAGAAAAGGAAAAGAGAAAAAACTGAAGCCCAGGGCAAAAGGCTGATTTCTTTATGGCATAATAAATATTCCCTCTCACTATGAGATAGTTTCAGTCACAGAGGTCCGGGTCTCGTAAACTTGTTTTTCCAATACTAGGGAACCCCCCTGGACTCCTGGCTTGATTTACATGGCTACAGACTTCCCTGCCGGACTCCGCATGCCAGTGTAGGCTGTTACTCATGCACTTTGCTATTTCACAGTGAAAATATTGTTCTACGGACTTACCTTCCGAAAGCCAGGGATCCCTTTGATTATTTTTGATGACAATTCTGCATTTATAGTTGAGCAAGAAGATTTAGGTCCGTTGAATTATAGCTACACTTGAAATAATTTGATGGCATATTATTTGCATCCATAAATTGCCGTGCAAAGTATTGACTGCAGGGGTTATAATACTAATCTTCTTTTATTAGTGAGTTCAGAGAATCCTCATCAATATGAATTTTATTTACTAGTGTGCTTTTTCTCGAATGCAATGCAGTAATATTTTCTCGTGTAATGCTTAACTGCTTAGAAAACGACTGCTCGTGTCATAAAAGGGTCCTTGTGTTTCGCAGTGATTAACAAGAGTCATTCCGGGCACCTCAGCTACCTGCACTGCGTTTGGAGCGTGGGGACTGCGGATAATCAAAGCCTTTAGCCTTTTTCCTCCGCTCCTCGGAGAGATATGTGGGCAGCAGCGACAGGTACATGGCTTATCTAGCCTTCGGATTCCTACCTGCTCTGCTCGCCACTGCCTGAAACTGCGGAGCCCTGGGCGCCTCAGCTGGCCCCGGCTGCGCGGGAAAACCACCCAGAGCAGATCTTTGCAGCTTTGCTTTCAGAGGCCTCTCTCCTCCCTCCGATTAGGAAGAATGACGGACGCACCACACCAACAGGAGAGCTGGGTCCTCCAACTCTGGTTAACTTCCGCGAACTTTTTTCCAGGGAACTTTCCTCCGGGCTGAAGTTGGCCCAGCCCCTGGGCACTTTCCTTGGCGGGTGCCAAGCTGGTGTCAGGATCGTTTTAAGCCACTTGAAATCTCAGACGTCAGGAAAAGGGATGGTAATTAAGTTGTCTCCACGCTTGGGGGCTGTCCCAGCCAGCGGCGGCCTGCAGGTGTATGCAGGCCGAATAAAGTACTGACCGCACACATAAATGAGCATCCACGCAACAGACCCGCGTGGGCCTGCCGAGTCCAGCTCGCAGGAGGGAGCAGCGCAAACCGCGCGCTTCCGTGCTACCGCCAGGGGCGAGGTCGCGGGTGGGAGTGGAGAGGGGGCAGCGTGGGAACCCCGAGTTTGGGTCTCGGTGGGTGCGGAGCAACCCGTGGGCCTATGGGGCCCGCGTGCTCGCCCGCCCGCCCGCCCGCCGCCTAGCCTCAGGCGACAGGCTGGTTTCTTGGGTAACCGCGTTGTTTTTATTTATAGGGACTTTGAGTGGCCTGATCATTCGGTCATTGCCTCGGCTCTTGCTGCTGGCAATAGCTGGGAAATAGCTTGGGATGGGTTTTATTTATGGAAGGGCAATTGGGATTCACACCCAGCTAACCCAGAACAGTCTCCCCCCCAGCCCAGGACGCACTCACAAAGGGGTGCTTGTGTAAAATTCCCCTTCAGACACACCAATTTGCAAGTAGCAGAAAGCATTGAAGCCTCATTTTTTAAACTATTTTATTCAGCTTTTTTTTTTTTAATCTGAAAGCCCAAAATAGACTCCATGTGGTTCTAAGTGAAGTCAGCCCTTGGCTGGCTTTGAAATAGCTCCTGCAATTATGTAAAAGAGCCATTCACCAACAGGACGGAATTAAAAGGGATCTCGCCCGCTTCCCTTTCATTGCCAACCTCTCATGTTTGACTTTTCAAAGCACTTCCAACACGATGTCTTTCTCCAGGACAAAAGGCAGAACAAAAAAAGTCCCCAAACTTGTAAATTGAACGTCAAGGGGACTTTAAACAATTTAAAGCCCATAAATAATGATAAAGGGGACTGGCAAAAAAGGCAAACCCATTCAATTAATGGAGTTTCCCAAGCAAAGATCAAGTGGTTTATAAAATAAAAGTCTTTGCTTCATTATTCCGCTCCTTGACCGTGCAGAAGGCGGGACAGGGTTTGTTCTAAAGCGCCCGAAGAAGGGACGCTGTGCGGGACGGTGTGCGGCCGCATTCTTCTGTAGAAAGTTTTGCTTTTTGTCCCCCACCCTAACAGTAGCAGAAACAAAACCGCCAACCTGAAGCGTGAGGGGGAGGGTTCTTTTTTTTTTCTTTTTTCTTGCATTTCCTCGGGGGAGTTGGAAAACGTTCTCCGCAGGCCTGGGGGGCGGGGAAACGTGACCCTTCACACCTGCGCTGCCCTCCCCACCCCCGCGCG